CAAATGCATCCTGGCCCCACCCCCAACCCCCTTGAGCGAGTGCCAGACACAGGGCTCTCCCCATCGGCTGGTGCAGCAGGGCCCGGATGAGCAGGAGCGGCAGGCGGCATTGGACTGCTGGTTTTGGCCTGATCCCCCGCAGGCCACCCCAAGGGACCCCACCTGTGCACAATTTCATGCACCGGGCCTCTAGTGTGGAAATAAGAAAGTCCCTGCTCTCCTGGAGCTTAGGTTCTAGTATAGGGACAATAGGAAATGCACAAATCATATTTTTTTAAATATATATTTCTTTATTGGTTTCAGAGAGGGAGAGGGGAGAGAGAGAAACATCAATGATGAGAGAGAATCATCGATTGGCTGCCTCCTGCACGCCCCCTACTGGGGATCAAGCCCGCAACCCAGGCATGTGCCCTTGGCCGGAATCGAACCTGGGACCCTTCGGTCTGCAGGCTGACGCTCTATCCACTGAGCCAAGCTGGCTAGGGCAAATCATATTTTTTAAAAATACATGTTTTTATTGATTTCAGAGAGGAAGGGAGAGGGAAAGAGAGATAGAAACATCAATGATGAGAGAGAATCACTGACCGGCTGCCTCCTGCATGCCCCCCACTGGGGATCGAGCCGGGCATGTGCCCCTGACTGGAATTGAACCCGGGACCCTTTGGTCCACAGGCTGACGCTCTATCCACTGAACCAAACCAGCTGGGATGCACAAATTGTATTTTAATATCCTGCAGTAAGTGCCATGGAGCAAAACAAAACGAGGAGACAAGGATTAGGACCATGCTGTTTTTATGTGGGGTGATCCAGGAAGGCTTCTCCGAGAAGACATTTGAGCAGGTCTAAACCAAACAAGGAGGTGAGCCCCTGGGGGCAGAGTGTTCCAGGCAGAGGAGACAGCAAATCCAAGGTCCTTGTGTGACTTTCTCCCTGAGAGGGTCTTCCTCATTAACTCGCTGAGGGGTTGGTGGCACCTGGCAGCAGGGGCTTTAACATGTGGAACAGACGGATGAATGATAGTTACTCTTCCCACCTATACACAGCTTTTTGCATTTGTTTCTTCTCTTATCTGGAATGTCCTTTCTACCTACCCAAGTACCTCCCTTTTTTTAAACATCCCCCCAATTTGGCAACGTTGTTAAGCCTGTCTGGCTTGAGCCCCTGGCCTCAGCACAATCCCATGCTGTGGCCAAGGCACCTTTGGGCACTGCAAGGGTGGGTGTAGTGAGGTCACTCTTGGGTGGGCTCCTGAGACGATGAGCACTCCCACTTGGAGACCAAGAGGCAACTGCACATTATAAAACAACGTGATCCTGTTTGGATCAAGCTCCTTTCTCCGTCAGCCCCCAGGGGAAAGAGGCAATCTGCCCTTTCCAACTGCCCCTTCAGGACCTGTACACAGAAGAGCCTGTGGTGTTCGTCTTACAGGATTCCTAATTGTGGCAACTGAGCACATTTGCCAGGTATGTCTAGCAGCTCCTGTGAGGACAGCCTTTATTACATACTAGAGGCCTGGTGCACGAAATGTGTGCACTGGGGTGGGGGGTTCCCTCAGCCCGGCCTGCACCCTCTCGCAGTCCAGGAGCCCTTGGGGGATGTCCGACAGACGGCTTAGTCGGACATCCTTAGCACTGCTGCGGAGGCGGGAGAGGCTCCTGCCACCACCACTGCGCTTGCCAGCCTTGAGCCCAGCTTCTGGCTGAGCAGCACTCCCCCTTGGGAGCGCACTGACCACCAGAGGGCAGCTCCTGCGTTGAGCGTCTGCCCCCTGGTGGTCAGTGCGCGTCATAGCGACCAGTCGTTCTGCTGTTCGGTTGATTTGCATTAGCCTTTTATTATATAGGATATATTTAAAATTACATTGCTGCTGCTTTTTCACTGTGAAACAATCCCAGAATACTTGTCTCTTGCCCTCACATAGTGACAGCCAATCACAATCACTTCTATTTCTATGACAGGTACCGAATACTGACTGGACTTAAATAGGGAAATTTAGATGCACCAAGATTTCATATTTCATTTTTTTATTACCAATCAAAAATAAATTCCATATATTGTTTAGCAAATATTATCATTGTTTTGTGACAAAAGACACAAGAGTCATAACAACAAAACTCCCCGAGAGTCAAACTCATAACAATGCCAAAATAAATCACAAATATATACAAATTAAAATCTTATGCAAAATAAATATGTTACTTGCTATGGTGGCTGTGACTTGCCTACCCATTTGGAGGCCATCCCTCACACAGGAAGACAGGTAGGGATGGGCCAATTCCAGGGTAGAGCTCAGCCCAGGAACCGGAAGTTGGAATAGGAAGTGAAAAATTGCACTGGGAGGAGGAAGTCATCGGACCAGTAATATTTGGAAATAATTACGACCCTTTGCAAGAAGTGATTATAAATGGGGAAGGGAAGGGAAGAACGGGGGAGGAGGGAACAACTGTTGGTAGTAACCGTGTGTGCAAAGAGGTAGCGTGGAAGTGTGCGTACCCGCTTTTACTTCACACACACTCACTTGGTTCAGGCCAATGTGCTTGGCCCTGCCTGGCACTCAGGTCTCAAAAACACAGCTTTGCAAGCTTCCATGTGGACTCAGAAAGCAAGCTGTGCGTGTAGAAAACTAATGGGTTTCCCCACAGGGAACAAAAAGGTCCAGTGTCTTTTTTTCCTTCTGGCTGAGAACCCATGGGTATCACCACCTTCTCTCCAAACTTTTAGGAATAGATTCTATGACTGGTCAGGGGTAGGTATACTTGGTGCAAGACATTTCCTGGTCTCAAGACTTAGGGCCCTCCAGGCACCTGAAGAGCAGAGCCCTTTAGGAAAGGAGCGAATAGACAACACTCAGGGGGAGGCCTGCAGAGTCTCCCCCACCTGATCTTGGGCAACTGTTCCACCCGACAAAAGGGCCAACACGGACCTTGGTCCCGCAGCCTCCCCAGCAGTGGGAAGCCTGGAGCTGTGCAGCAGGGCCTGGCTCAGCCCCAGGGAAAGGTGCTGGGGCAGGACTTCCTGTGGGCGTGGAGCTCTGTGCCACCAGCTTCAGCACAGGACAAGATGACGTCCCGCACCAGGATTACGGACCGGGGGAAACGTGACCACCATGTGTGCCCTGGAGGCTGAAACCTTTCCCGGGCTATGAAAGTGTGTAAATAGGCAGGTAAGCCTCAGCCACGGAGAGAGGGCATGGAGAACCTGCTCAGGTTGCTTCCTCCACATCCTCTGTTCTCAATCCCCAAGAGACCTCGGGGTTTCGATTGGAAGTAGGGAGCCTGGAAAGCAGAGTTCAAGGGTCAGACTGGACTTTGGTTGAGGGGTGGGAAGGGGATGGTATTACTTGCTAACAATGCAAATACTTGTGACTAGATTCCCTCCTAGAACCAAGAGGAGTATTGCAGACAAGTCACCTCTAATGTAGATGCTGTCCCAACCCACGGGAAAGCCTTTGGTAAAGAGAGGGCAGCCTGGGGAGCAGGGGGAGCAATCCGAAAGGTGGGAGACACTGCCTAACGCGTCAAGTCAGCCCATTACAAGGGAACAGCTGTCCAAAGGGGTCGATGAGGCAAAACAATGGGGCCAGGGTTGAGAGTCCCAGTGGCCCCCACCAGGAGAGCCCATCAGCAGAGTTTCAGAAATTCCTGGATCCAGCGAGTGACAGGAGCAGGGCTACTCCTCTGTAGCTGGAAGTATAGCCCCTGATCACAGCTCCCCAGAATCCTTGGCCTCGGCGACGTCAGACAAGCCTCAGTGCACATGTCCAGGCAGTTGTTCTCAATGCTATTTGGTTCTTTGCTTCCTGGGAAGCACTGTCTTCCTCCCAAGAGAAAATCTTCCTCCCGCAGCTGCTGGGACCCGTCTCTGGAGGACAAGGAGCAGGAAGAGTCGGCTCCCTGAGTCGGGACATAGCCAGGTTGTGGCTGGGAGCAGATTATGGCTATTGCTTCCCGGGGTGAGAAACCCCTTCCAAAGTTTTTGTGGGGGAAAAAATTTTTTTTTAAATAAAATCCTTAACCCTGTCTTCCCTTCCCCATTCCCTTCCCCAAATGATATTTCAAAAGAGGAGCAATAAGCCTAGTTTAGAAACTCTCCAGTACAAAATCCGCCTTGTGGTGGTTACTCGCCACCCACAGTCCAGGGCTAGGCAGCCGCTACTTCCGAGCTGCTCACAGGTCCCTGTCAGAGGCCAGCTTCCCCACAGGCTGGGGGCCACCTGGCTGCTCAGGAAGGTAGGCCATCGGCACCCCGTCTGTCCTGACAGGCTCCTTCTCTTCAGGTGGGCCCACTGGAGCGGCCCCCGCGGAGCGGGCGGGGGGCCCCGGGCCCTCCTGTCAGATGGCGCTCTCGGGGGAAGCTCTGTGCAGCGTGGCGTTGCGCTCGTTGAGCAGAGTTGTGGTCTCGTCCACCACAGGCAGCTCAGGCTTCTCCGCCAGGTTCTCCGTGCAGATGGTGCACCCGTCCAGGGGAAACTGAGGGCTGGTCTCCATCCGTGAGGCCAGCAGCCCATTCTGGTACTGTTGGCGGGTGATCTGCAAGAGGAGCAATGAGTCAGTAAGAGCGGGAGCTGGGAGGCCCATCGCACCAGTGACCCGGGGAAGCAGAGCCGGCAGGATGGAGGCTGCAAGTCCAGGTGCGAGGATGTGACCAGGGGGAGTCTCCGGAAACCTGTCACAAGAGTTAGCAGCAGGAGCAAGAAGGACTCTCACGTGGGCCCTGTGTTCCGGGTGGCGGGGGAAAGAAAGAGTTGCTGATTCCTGAGGCAGTGATCCAAACGCCAGACCGAGGCTAGGGGAGCACTCACCTTGATATACTGCAGGTCCATGAGCGCCCGGACACTGAAGTCAGAGATGTACTGGCCCAGGACAGAGCTGCCAAGCTGGTTGCTGCTGCCTGCCAAGGGGGCTGGGCTGGAGAGGTCTGTGCGGTCCGGGCAACTGAGGGAGGCTGAGCGGCTCAGGCAGGTGGGGTGCGATGGGGAGCGGTCTGTGGGGAGAAAGAGGCTGTCAGGCCCCGACAGGCACCACCCTGGACTGTGGTGCCCTCCTGGCTAGGCCTGTCCCATGGATGCCAGGGGATGCTACCCCCACTGGGAATGGAAACACTTCGTAAGGACAGTCAGAAGCTTTAACCTCATCAAAGCAAACGAGTTAGTTTGTTTAGCAGTGTTGTGCAATAACTATTAAAAAGTCTAACAAAACAGAAAACAAAAACCAAAGACTCAAAAGTTTATGGCTACAAAACCCTAACAACTGATCAGTCCAGGGCAGCACGATGGTTACCCTCGTGTGGCGGCCGCTCTCATCTCAGTAACAGCTCATGTCAATGGACACAAACCGCATACCTTTAAATTATATTAAAAGAAAAATTACACAATCTGCACTCTCATCTCTCTCATACACACACCCTCAACATGACACCCTGCTCATAACTAAAAATGCTCTTGAGACGTCAAATATTTGTTCTGCACATGACCTGTTCTGTGTGGACAGTCCTACCCACTGTCTGCTGAGCCCCAGCCTGACCGGGGGCAGGGGCAGCACGTTCCTTCCCCAGGAACTAGAGGCCCCAGATCGCCAGGCTTCCCATCCCAGCTAGTGCCAGTCCCCCTCCCGGGAGGCAAAGCCTGGGCAGTGTTGGCGGTGCCTCTTCCCGCCACCAGGCAGCACAGGCCTCATTCCGTTGACTAACCAGGGGAGCGGGATGACTCAACCTCAAATGAGGAACACACTCCTTATTTTGAAAAGGAAACTGCACACATTATTGTGCTCTTATTTTTAAAAATATTTATAAGGCAATGAAATCCACAAAGAAGTTCATTGTGAAGGCATGCTGGCTTGTTTCAAACAGGAAATAGACTAAGCTGATATGCTTAGTTAAGGACTAAGTTACTACCTAACTACTGAGTTAGCCGTTCTAACAAATAGCTCAGTGAAGAGAGCAAACATCGGGTGACTGAATGACCAATGGAGCTTTGAGCAAGGGAGGCTGCATCAGTAATGCACCATCGTTGAGCTTCAGTCAGAAAACAAGGAAAATATAGTCTGGATATTCTACAATTGGGTAGTGTACAACCGTTAGAGCAGGGAGGGGGAAACTTTTTCTGCCAAGGGCCATTTGAATATTTATAACATCATTCAAGGGCCATATAAAATTACCAACTTAAAAATTAGCCTGCTCTATTAGCCTAAATACTTAATTAACTCCCCCCTAATGCCTGGGCAGGGCCAGACCAAATGGTCTCACAGGACGTCGATGGCCCAAGGGCAGGACATTCCCCACCCCCCATTAGAGGATCATGTGCATGTATCACTTATTCTAAACTAAGTAACACCTCGGATTAAGTTCTAGAAGAAAACAAATACTGGGGAGAGCAACCTTTCACATTAATGGGAGCATTTGAGATCTTGCTTCCTGGCAACTGTTATCAGTTTAGTTCAAATAAACTCTTACAAAAACTAAAGAAAACCCAAAAAACACACACACAAAAACACTTAACATTAATTAATTATTTGCTTTTAATTAATGCTTATTAACATGCCAGAACAGGAAATTAATTTAAAACCAACACAGATTGGTGACATGGCCTATTAAAAATAGAGGTCCAGCCCTAACTGGTTTGGCTCAGTGGATAGAGCGTCGGCCTGTGGACTGAAGGGTCCCAGGTTCGATTCTGGTCAAGGGCATGTACCTTGGTTGTGGGCACATCCCCAGTAGGAGGTGTGCAGGAGGCAGCTGATCGATGTTTCTCTCTCATCAATGTTTCTAACTCTCTATCCCTCTCCCTTCCTCTCTGTAAAAAATCAATAAAATATATTTAAAAAAATAAACACTATAGAGACTTATGAACTACCACAGTATCTATCTTCCAGATTTCCACACCCACTAAAAAAAAAAAAAAAAAAAAAGAGGTCCTAAAGAAAAGTACAACAAAATATGAAGCATCTGTTTCTGAATAATGAAATTATAATGCTTATTAATTTTATTTTTTCCCCTATGAGCTATGTTACTTTTATGATTAAAACAAAGCAATATGTGTAACAAAAATGGAATTTTTTAATTTGGTAATTCTACTTCTAAAAGAATATTCTAAGGATATAATCTCAAACACAGATGACATTTTTCATAGAGGTTTACGTCATGGTATTATTTAGCATATAGACCCCCATGAATATGCATAAAGGGAATAACAAATGAAGGCACATCTGCCTGGTGAACTCTGTGTAGCTCTAACAAGAAAGCTTATGGAAAAGCATCTCTGCTCCCATATTACATAAAAACATCAGGATTCAAACCCTGTATGCACAATCTCCTGGCCATATGTGAAACAAGAAAGTGCAGAAGAGGCAGAGGGAGGCTGGTCAGTGAAGGCCAAATGGCCCATCTGCTCTCATCAGACACCCCCTGCTCAGAGCCATTACCGACTTCCTGCCTCCCATCACAGCCAAAAGTTTGTTGTGTCTGAAAGGGACCAGTGACTTCTCAGTCACCTTTAACATTTTTTTAGAAGAGGATCAATAGTAAAGTGTGCTTTGGAGCAGTTTAGAAGAAAAAACCAGATGCAGGAATATAAAGTGGGAAACAGCTGCCTGCAGTGCTAGGCTTTCTGGCCTGTGGAGGCTCAGGAGCTGCTCTAGGTTACGCACTGAGCCTGGACTCTTAACTTCCTCAGGGCTCACCGGGCCAGGCCAGGGCTCTGGTGACAAGGCCAGCACCTCCCGCCACCATCTGCTGCCTTGGATCATGGGGGACAGGGATGCTGCCAGTGAGTAGGAATCAGTCTGGCCAGCACGTGCGTGCGTGCGTGCGTGCGTGCGTGCACACACACACCTCCTCAAAGACTGAAGAACCTTCAGGAACCTCTTCCAGGACCAGGGCAAAGCCATCCAGTAACTGAGCTCTAGGCCAAGCTGGCTCTCAAGTGTGAACAGGTGGGGAGCCCCAGTGCCTACTGGGACAGGTTAATGCAGCCGTGGTGTGTGGGCTCAGGCGACAGGTGGCAGTGCAATATTCTCCGCCATGCCATGTTACCTGAGAGCCAGGAGAGCAGGGAGTTCTGCTTGCCAGGCGGACACCCGACCTGGGATGAAGGCACTGGAGCAAAAGAGGAAAAGGTCAGTGCTGGGTGAGGAGGCAGGACATGGAGCCACAGGAACGGGCTGGAGAAGCAGACCTGCTGTCCAGGCTTCCTTGGGCAGTGAGGGGCTCAGTGGGAAAGGAGACACGGCTTTGACTCACGAGCCCTGCTCAGAGAAGGGCAGGTGCTGGCAGAGGCGCCCAGAGCTCCCACAGTGAATGCAGAGCCCAGAAGACATCCCTTTCCCTTCCGGCCACTCCAGTGGGAACTGAGAGCCTCCAGGTCAAGGGACAGAGCGCAGGACCATGACCCAGGCCCCTGAGGCACTAGGGGCAGAGAGCGCCTGGAGGAAATGTCCCATGACTGAGCATCCTTCTGAACAAGGTTTCCCCAGGCTGGACGCTGAGCAGTCCTCCCAGGGCCGCCAGTCCAAAACCCGGGTCCCCTCCCCTCCCTCACAGGCCGGCTCGTGCTGGCAGGGGCAGAGCTGTGTCCATAGGCATGGATGCCCTGGCCCCCCACACGGGGTCCTCTTTGTCAAAGGAAAACAACAGGCACAGCCGAGGCTCCCAGAAGCTACAGCACCTGCCTCATCTGTGGCCTGTCCCCCAGCACCAAAGTGGACTTCCACTCTCCAGCCCACAGCCACCCAGGCCCCTCTCGTGGTTGGGGTGTGTGTCCCACGATGAGTGAGGAGCTGTGCTGGCCCCTTTGGCAAGGGGCACCTGAGCTACCCAGGACTGGGGAAGCAGAGGGCACTGGGGTGGCCAGAGAGGTCCTTCCTTGGTCTTGCCATAACCTCTCTTGGAGGTGGCCCAGTACCCTCTTTGCCCCAAGTCCCTTTATTCCATCACAACCAACCCTTAACCAAGAGGCAGTGGCTAAGCCATGAGAAACCAAACCTGCCTGTAACCTGCCCTGGCCTGGCTCCCAACTTCAGGCACTTTGGACGCTTCACCCAATCCCTTGGTTGCCCTCTCCCAGGCTTCATAGGCGAGACCCACAGCCTCCCTCCACATGCCCACTCTCTCAACTCCCCGCCTGCCGTGATGGCTCGTAAGGGTCACCATGGCCCGTGGGCCCACTGGCCCATTCTATTCTCAAAGGCCATCGACAGCTTCCTGCTTCCTATCACAGCCATACACCATCGACTTTCTGGGGCTCCCCGACTCATCCTTACTCCCAGTCTTCCTCCCCTCTGGCAGGCAGGCCTCCCCACCATCTCAGGACACACTCTCGGCTCCCTCCAGGCTTTTGCTCAGAATCCCACCCACCCCACTCCATCCTCTGAATCATTGCTCTTCCAGGCCACCTCCTCTAGGCCCAGACCTCACAGGGCTCCCTCTCCTCGAAACACTCAAGTTATGAGCCATCTCAATGCCAAGGAGCTGGGGCCACTCACTGCCGCCCTCACCCCAGGCCGCTGGAGTGCAGCCAGCGCAGCCCAGCCACTCACCAGTGGTTAACGAGGACAGCGCCATGGTCCCGTAGTAGGAGAAGGCACCCGTCTCAAACTTCATGTTCTCCTTCCCAGCCTCCACCTCCACCTTCCCCTGAAAGAACACAGGGTTAGGGTTATAGAGTGAAAAGCAAAAAACAACAACAAAAAGATGAGGCAAGAGGGAGACATGAGGGGTGATGGCACCGTGAGCTGCTCGGAAGAGGATGGGCGATGGGGAGCCGAGGCCCGGAGCAGGCACACAGTCTCGGGGCAGGAAAGCCCTGCATCCCACATTTCGCAGTGAGGCAAGCAGGTGTGGGCAGGCTCACCTGCAGGATGAGGATGAAGTAGTCGGCCGGCTTGTTCCGGGTGTACAGATAGTGGTGCACATAGTATTTGTTGTGCTCATCAAACTTGAGTTCCTGAATGACGTCCGGGTACTTGAGCAGCCGAAGCAGGATCTTCTCTGATATCAGAGCAGGGCTGAACTGGGGGACTTCTGCAGGGGAGAGGGAGACTGCACATGAGACCCGTCGCTGCAGCACAGGGACAGCTCCCTCACTGCCAGGCTCTTCCCTTCGGTTCTGAGAAAAGGGAGAGCCCTGGGGTCCACACTGGTCAGACGGGAGTCTATTGGCCTTGAATGGTAGCTCCTGCACTACCCGGCCATGATCTTGGGCAATTACTTAACCTGTATATCAGTTTGCTCATCTGTGAAATGGGGGTTAAAAACTTCAGAGTGGTTGTGAGGTTAAACAGAATAATACATGTAAAGCACTTAGACACATCCTTGGCATAAGGAAAGTGCTTGATGATTGTTATCATCATCGATATCATCCATACCCTGGCAGAAAAAATAAAGGAGAAGGAATTACTGAAGTCTGACTGGGATAGGGGGAGGGAGTAGGCAGGTGTCTTTCTAATCCATCGCCCAGGCCCCCAAGGGAGCTGTGAATCAGGGGTGAGAAGAGCTATGACATTGATTTACAGGTCAAGTCCGGTACATGAGGCAGAGGGGAGGCGGGAGAGACAAGGACAGAGCTAGATGCAGGCTCCTCAGAGGGGATGAGCCAGCAAGGGCCATGCGCTGTACCTGGGCAGGCCCACAGCACATGCAAGAGCCTCCTTCTCCCTCCCACTCCACAAGCCTCGATGGGCCTAGCTCAGGTTCTCCTGAGGCTTATTTTCAAAACTAACTTGATACTTTCTAGAAGTCTAGAAAGGGGAAGCAAATCACAGGGCATGTCCAGGTGGGAGCTGCCTCGCCCCTTCCAGAGGCAGCTGGGTTTCCCTGCACCTTGCATCTGTGTAGCCTCATCCCAGGAGGGGAGTAGCTAGAGGCCCAGTCCTTCTCCCTCTGTGACTGTCCCACCAACAATGAAGGCCATCCTCTCGCTCTTACCCGTGGACAGAAAGCGGTGAGCAGCCAGGAGTAGCTGAGGTGAAATTTTCACCTTGAGTTCATTGTCAGTATCCTTGAAGGCTGAGAAGTCCCGTTTGTTCTTCTCAGCTACCCGTTTCCGGCTTCGGTTGTCAGCTGCAAGAGAATGAACTGGAGCTGAGCATGCTGTCTCCACAGTGGACTCGGGAACAGACTAGAACCTGTCCACCAGCTGCCGGCTCGGCCGTCCCTCCCTCCACACAGAACCTGCAGTGCCTGGGCCAGGGCAAGTCCCCGGGCTGATGCTGAGCCACAGAAGCCAAGAGGAACCAAGCAGCCTCCGGTCCCTGCTCCAAGCAATATGCTCCCAGGTCGTGTGGGCCTGTGTCCCTGCACGGTGGCCTTCCCACCCAGGCCAGCAGACGTCAGGCCTGAGCGGGAAAGGGACTCTGGGTCTGTGGGGGGTGGACTCACTGTACATATCGGACTCTGTGTCCCTGCATGGTGGCCTTCCCACCCAGGCCAGCAGACGTCAGGCCTGAGCGGGAAAGGGACTCTGGGCCTGTGGGGGGTGCACTCACTGTACATATCGGACTCGTCCAGGATCTCGGACTTGATGATCTCCTCGATGACGTCCTCCAGGGTGACCAGGCCCAGGACCTCGTAGAAGGGGTCACCTTCCCCCTCGTTGTTCACCTTCTGCACGATGGCCAGGTGGGACTTCCCTGGGGGACAACGCAATGAGTCAGACAAGAGCAAAGGGACCAATCATGAGACTCCTCCACCAAAATGTTAACACACCTGAGTCATTGGGGTGGGGTCAGGGGTAGTTTTTTCCCCTTTTCTATATTTCCTGGAGTTTCTATTGCAAACAGATACTGCTTTTATGAAAAGGAAAACCAGAAGTATTTTTTACTGTCAAGGCATTACGGACCATTGGCTTAAATGGAATGAAAAGGGCAAGGCCCTCCTGGGGAGGGGAAGACCCACACTGACAACTTGTGGACAGAGAAGCCATATGTCATAGGCAGGCAAGTGCCAGCTGGACACGGGCTCAGAGGACGCCCACCTTCCCTGGCTTCAAGGGCCATTCACAATACCTCCCCCAGCTCCTTGGCAGAGCCCCCGCACCCCCACCCCCCCTGCAAGTACCCTGGGGCCAACACTGTCCAAGGCAAAGGCTCTGCATTCCCCAAACCATTAACAAATTAGCCCGGTATAATTAGGCCAGGCAGGCACTGTAATTAGAGAAAGGCCACCCTTTCGACCTAAAGCAAGAGAAAGATAGAAAGGGGTTGGGGGGAAACCTTCCACAGAAGCTTTGTGGGTGCCTGGGTGCCCTCCTGGCTCCCCGCCCCTGCTCTTGTGCCCCAGAACCCAGTGTGTGACAACAGGAGACCCCCCAGAGGGGCCTGGCCCACACTCCGGGGTGAACAAGGTGTGCCCCACACAGGGGGACACAGATTTGCAGCAGCCTCAGGGAGAAAGCCCTGGGAGAGCTGTGAAGGTCAAGTCAGATTTCTCACAGATTCCCCTTCACAATCCAGTCTTAGGGCCTCACTCTCAGGACGTCCCTGCAGACCAGGTTCTCCAGATCCTTAGGCCACAGCAAACCCACCAGGCCCAGCATGCGCCCTTCAGAGCTCCTGGGGGCCTCTTAGGGAGAACAGAGATGCCAGTCCTCACAGCCAGCATTTGGAAAAGCAAACGGAAAGTGCCTGAGCGCACCCGTGTGAAGGGGGAGGACTGTCCTGTGAAACATCCTCGCACACAGTGCTGGTAGTACGGTACCGATCTCCAGCTTGGGGTTGTGGTCAAAACACTTTCAGGACCTTGCTAGACAGACCATGGCTAGACTCGACTGAAGATTCCCCTGTCTTCTAGCGATGAGCCAACGAGAGCGAGTGATCTGCCAGGGCCCTTGAACCTGGCCTCCCCACCTGCCAGAGGCTGCCCTGCAGGACAGCCCTCTAGAAACAGTGCTGCGGGCCGGCGCAGCCAGCTTCGACCAGGTCCTCCGACAGGAAACCAGAGTGCAAGCAGGCAGCTTCTATCACCTTCCTGATGCCCAGTGCTGCGGGAGACAGGCAGGCCCTCACAGGGCTCTGGTTGGTGTGCAGGAAAACAGACACATTTCAGGAGGCCGATTTGGCAGCAGGTCTCAAAACCAAGGGTCCCTAACCTTGGCCTCAGAAATTCCACTTGTAGGAACTTACCCTATGGATGTAATCTTCACTAAAGCAGAAAGACACAAAAGCAAAGGGGTCATCAAAACATTCTTTTTCACAGCCTCAAACCAGAGACCATCTGAATCAATTGCAACAGAGCAGGAGTGCGGGACAGGGGCTACTGCTGCTGGGGAGAGGCAGCAGGGCCTGAGGGACGAAATGTGGGACGAAACCCGAGACAGGCCCTTAGTGGAAAAGCAGGTGATAGGACTGAATGCATGGTGCCATCTGCCTGCATGGAAATGGGGGTGGAGGGTGGAGAGGGCCTTGAACTGTCTGGAAAAGGTAACAGTGGTCATCTTTGGGGGCTTTTGAAGTTGGGGGGGCTAGTATCACTCTATTCACTTCCATATTCTATTTGATGGGCATGTTTCACTTCTATATATTTTTTTCTATCTATATTTTTTTTGACAAAAATATTAAGGAGAGCCTGGCTGGTGGGGCTCAGTGGTTGAGCGTTGACCTATGAACCATGAGCTCACAGTTCAATTCCTGGTCAGGGCACATACCCAGGTTGCGGGCTCCATCCCCAGCCGATCAATGATTCTCTCTTATCATTGGTGTTTCTATCCCTCTCTCCCTCTCTCTTCCTCTCTGAAATAGATAAAAATATGTTTTAAAAAATATTAAGGAGAAACACAAAATTAAGGGGAACTGGTAAGAGTCTAGGGTGAGCAAGGCATTGCGGCACAAGGAGCCCAGGAATGGGGTGAGTCTCTGAATGCTGCCCAGTTAGCAGCACCTGCTTATACCCTAGGAATCAGAAACCAGCAGATTCAGCATCAATAATCGGAGAAAATGTCCCCCCACTGAAACCTCCAATCAACCCATGATCAAGGGTTGCACGAGGCTTCACTGGGAAAGGCTGGTGGTTCCTCTAAAAGACAGAAATATCCTCCTGTGAGTGAAATGCATGGATTTCTTGTGCTGGATTGGGGCCACTCTTTGCCTCCCTGCCTGCTTTCTGAAGCTCCTGTCTGTGGAACCCACTGGTGTGTGTGGCACCCTCTAGTGGCAGCACCATCAAGATGAGTACCTTGTAGATATGCTGGCCTGGGGCACTGCCCACTCACCCCTGCTCTGCATGCTAAAGAGCCTGGCGCACTGGCGCTGACTGTGGCCGGCTGGTTGCGGCCCCACACAAAGGGCTAGTCCGTCACCCTCTGCTGACCCGGCCGTGGGACTCTGGGCTGTGTCTGCCTTTTCTCATTTGTCTGCCCTTCCCAAAGTCAGCAATGCCTGCAGTGGTGAGGGTCTCGTGCTCAGCCTGCAGTCTTTGGCCAGGGGCCGCTCTCCCTCCTCCGGCAAGCTCCTGGCGTTCTGACCTCAGGCCGGCCCTGTCCTCTGGACTCAGGAGGGCACCTGGTCCCTTGCCTTGTCACTTTAAATAAAAACTATATGTCAAAGTGTCTCAAATAAATACTTGCAGCCCAGTCCTCTTCTGTGCCCTCCAGACTCCCACTGCTTGCTGACAGCTAGAGCCAAGTGGCTGTCTAACACCTAGGACTTACTGTCAAAACCAAGCTCCTGCTCTTCCTCCCAGCCTCCCCATCTCCCTCTCTCCAACTGATCAGCATGGAGAGAAAAGACTCTGTCTCCTCTATTTCTCTACCCTTCTACATCCAACCCTTTCAGCAGACCTGTCAGCTCTGCTTACAAGAGGCACCCGGAACCCAGCCTCCTCTGGCAGCCTGCACTGCCACTGTCCCATTCTGGGCCACAGGCATCTCCTTCTCACCCGGAGGGTGGGAACAGCCTCTCACCATCTCCCTGCTTCACCCTGAACCCGAGTCCACTCTCAACACAGCACCAAGGGGGACCCCTTACAGGGAAGTTAGGTTGCCTTACGCCTCACTCCACGCAGGAGCCACATTCCTCCGTGGCCAGGTCCCAGACACCCCTAACCCATCTCCTACTCCTCTCTCCTATGCTCCGGTCAGTCTCAGCCTCCTTGCTGTCCCTCAAACACCCAAGGCTGCTCCCTTAATCTGGCCGTCCCTCCCCTACACATCTGCTTAGCTCGCCCCACCTTTATGTCTCTGTTCAAATGTCACCCTCCTGGTGAGGGCCTCACTGACAACCACCCCTCCTCTAGCACCCCAAGCTGGTCATCAGTTTATTACCTGAAATAAATGATATAACATGCTTACTCACTTTACTTATGGTTTATAGCTCCTCTCCTCTTACTAACTGCGAGTCCATTATAGCAGGGCTTCAGTCTGTATTCCCCAAATATAGAAGACTGTTCAGTAAGTGTTCAGTGAATGTTTATGGGGAATGAGTTCGTTCACACAGGGAGGCTAGCAGTGAAAGGATTATTTTGAATTTTAGTAATTAAGAAGTTTCTGTAATTCAAAATTACTGTTAACTCATTTACCATCTATATATATAAAAGCCTAAGAGACCATTACGACCGGTCGTTCAGTGCACTGACCACCAGGGGGAAGATGCTCAATGCAGGAACCGCCCCCTGGTGGTCAGTGCGCTCCCACAGCCAACCTCCCATGGCTGGCCAACCTCCCACGGTCCCTCACCCTGGCCAGTTAGGTGGTCAGTGCGCTCTCACAGCCAACCTCCCGCGGTCCCTCCCCCCAGCCAGCAGCCCTGATCAGCCAGCCAACCTCCCGCAGTCCCTTCCCCCGGACTGGGCTAGACGGCCCTGATCGCCGGCCAGGCTGAGGGACCACACCCGTGCATGATTTCGTGCACCAGGCCTCTAGTTTAAAATGAGAGGATCAACTTAGGACTTACATGTTTATGATTTTCATTGTATGGAATTCAAATCTAACATAGAATTTTATTTTAATGAGTCTCCTCATCTTATTAGTAGTTTCCATTCAACTGGATAACTGGATTTTGGAGGTGGTTGGGATGAGAAAGTAAACATGAAAATTTAAATAATACCCCTACCCCGAAAGCTGAGAATCCCACATTTTTTAAAGCAGTCTTTATTAAAAAAAAAAAAAGACTGAAGAAATATACCTAAATGTTCATATTTGGCTGACCCATAAAAAACTGCTGACAGTCGACAAAATAAGAATCATATGATTTAACCTAAAAGTATGGGAAATTAAGAATGGTTTTAGTTTTCTTTTTTTATACTTTTCTGAATAGAAATTGCAAAATTTCCATAATCAATACCATAAATGTTATAATCAGAAAGGTACACATACATTAAAGTAACTGTTAAAAGACTCTCTTGCCCAGTAGGTGTGGTTCAGTGGTTGAGTGTCGATCTATGAACCAGGAGGTCACATGCCCGGGTTGCCGACTCGAGCACTAGCAGGGGCGTGCAGGAGGCAGCTGATCAATGATTCTCTCTCATCACTGATGTTTCTATCTCTCTCTCCCTCTCCCTCTCTGAAATAAATAAAAAATATATTAATTTTTTAAAAAAACCTCCCATACTGCTTCCTCTGGGACTTGGGGCTTCCTTAGCCTTTAATTCGAGCACTGCTAAGAACCTGGCTGTGGGAGAGGGGTACCTTGAAGCTGCT